TCTTTTAAAATATATTTTTATTGATTTGAGAGAGGGTGAGAAAGAGATTGACACATCAATGATGAGAGAAAATCATTGATTGACTGCCTCCTGCATGCTCCACACTGGGGACCGAGCCCGCAACCCGGGCATATGCCCTTGACCAGAATCGAACCCAGAATTCTTCATTCCATAGGCTGATGCTCTATCCACTGAGCCAAACCGGCTAGGACAACACAGGTTGGTTTCTTACTGACTACCCAGTGCCCTTTGAGGATCAATCTCACCTTGCCTGCTCTTTTGCGTAAGTGCTGTGCCTTGCATGCAGTGGCCATCAGCTGGTCTCCTGGGTCTCAGTGTCCTCTGTGTAAATGGAGAGTTTTGGCAAGTGATTGCTTGCTTCTATATATTCCAGTGTTAACACTATGGATTCTTTCAGATTGCCATTTAAAATCATCTCTTATCTCCAAGGCTGTTTCTAAGCAACAGAACAGTTCTTTCCTGGACTCCTTGCCTGACTGACCTCTTCCGCCCACAGAGATGTTTCTCGCCCAGCTGCAGCATTAGATTATCTGAAATGCACATTTACTTAGTACCTGATGACACATTTCAGGTTGTTGTTTAGCTTTTCATCTGCGTAGGTTGTGTCCCTCCAATTAGAGCACAAGCTTCCCAAGCCAGATATTATATAAAATGTGCTCAGTAAATATTTGTTAAATAAATAAATATTGTATCAAGAAATAGCCATAAATAAATCTAAAGGGAGTTCTGAGCTTATGGGAAGTAGAAAATTCAAGGGTGAACCCCAAATTTGTGATTTGGAACCCTTGATGCAGATGATGCTGTTCTTCAAACCAGGGGTCCTGCAGGTGAGAACGTTTTGAGCAAGGGGGGCAGAAGGTGAATTTAGGGTGAGACATGAGGTTCTGGCCAAAGGGACATATTTTACTGTGTTTAGCCTAAAGCTCCCCAAATAATTGAACATGGTTTGGGAAACGCTGATATAACGAAAGAAGAGAAGCAGGGTGAGGAAGGAAGCCTGTAGGACAACTAACTTTGAAGAAAGGGCCCAAGGAATTTGAAAAGGAGCATGCAGAGAGGAAGAGGAGGCTTCAGTCCCTGAGCTTTAATCCTGGTCCCGTCATTCCATCAAAAGGCCCATCTCCTGCCACGGAACAAGGGTGCCTGTGGGCCCTGGTCCTGAGAGTGCAGAAGAAAGATACTCACAAGCACTTCCAGATTCAAGTCTCTCATCACCCTCTCTTCTCAAAGAACTGGCCCCTTTTGCCAAAAGGAAGCTCATCCTAACTTTTACACTCAAGCGCCGGAGAATACCTGATGTCCAATCTTGTAACTACAATGAGTTGTCTTCAATTTGGTCTGATATAGGCAGAGACAATACAAAACCTTCACAGAGTAGAAAAATAAAAATTACCTTACTCACTCCCCATCATTTGTAATTCTTCTCAAGCTTCCCTTTAATATTTCATTTCAATCTCAACAGCATCTGTTTAAAAAAGTTTGCCGAAACCGGTTTGGCTCAATGGATAGAGCGTCGGCTTGGGGACTGAAAGGTCCCGGGTTTGATTCCGGTCAAGGGCATGTACCTTGGTTGCGGGCATATCCCCAGTAGGGGGTGTGCAAGAGGCAGCTGATCGACGACTCTCTCTCATCGATGTTTCTAACTCTCTATCTCTCTCCCTTCCTCTCTGTACAAAATCAATAAAATATATTTAAAAAAATAATAATAAAAAAATTAAAAAGTTCCCTATTTGTGTATGGAAAGCTGAGAAAAGGTGGAAACGACCAGCAAGGGAAAATGCAGAGAGAATTCCGTAATGCTCTTGCTGGTGGGAGTATACAATGGGGCAGTCACTTTGAAAAGAAGTTTAGCGGTCCATCAAAACATTACACATATAATTCCCCCCAAGACCCAGTAAAGGGTATGGGACTCCCTTTTGGGGTGATGAAATGTTCTAAAATTAAATAGTGGTGACAGTGCATACTAAAACATACAATTTATTTATTTATTATTATTATTTTAATCCTCACCCGATAATATGTTTTTTATTGATTTTCAGAGAGAGAGGAAGAGAGAAAGAGAGGGGGGGAAGAAGAAAGAGAGAGAGAGAGAGAAAGAGAAAGAGAGAGAGAGAGAGAGATGGATGTAAGAGAAACTTCGATGGGGACTAAACCCAAAACTTAGTTTTGTGCCCTGGCTGGGAATTGAACCCAAAATCTTTTGGTGTATAGGACAACATTCCAACCAACTGAGCCACCTGGCCAGGGCTGAATCATACATTGTAAAAGAGTGAGTTTTGTGATATGTAAACAATATCTTAATAAAGCTATTATTTACTTATTTATATTTTTTAAAAATATATTTTTATTGATTTCAAAGAGGAAGAAGAGGGAGAGAGAGATGGAAACATCAATAATGAGAGAGAATCATGGATCACCTGCCTCCTGCACGCCCCACACTGGGGATTGAGCCTGCAATCCAGGGAAGTGCCCGGACTTGGAATGGAACCGTTACCTCCTGGTTCATAGATCGATGCTCAACCACTGAACCACACTGGCCAGAGAGCTATCATTTTTTTTTTTAAATGCAAGGAGGGTGAGTACTTTCAAGATAAAATTTTTCTTCAGATAGCAAAATGTCGGCAATTTTTTGTTTGCTCCTTCTTCTGTCTTCAATGCTTTATTTACCATACAGCTGTGTGGCTGCTCTTATTCCCTACTTCTTTTTTCCAGAATAATTTTAGGTGGTAAAATGAGCATATCTTTAATCAAGATGTCTTTTTCTACTTGAAGCACAAATAACATTCAACTCTCAGTTTCTGACATGTGTACCCACGTGGAGCTTTATTTTGACGTTTCTACCACATCAACATGTTTGTTTACACATATAGCGTGTCTGTCCATCACCTTTCCAAAAGCCAAGCTTATTGAGGTAGAATTTACACTCAGTCAAACTCACCCTTGGAAGGTTTCCAACTCTGTGAATTCTGATGAAAGTTTGCAGTCACGTCTCCTCCAGCACACTTGAGATACTGACTATTCCCATCACCCTAAAATGTCCCCTCTCCCCATATCCAGATCCTGCACCCTGATCTAATTTCCACCCTTCGGGTACTCTTCAATTTCTACTTTGAGTTCTCATGATTTATCCCCAGAGAAATCTGTCTCAGGCAGGATCTGGCTTTGTATCCCGTGGTGCCCAATGTGGTGCCGGCCATGGAAAACTTGCTCCGTAAGTAGATGCTGAATAAATGAACGCATCACCTGATGTTTAGATCCTGCCAAATCATACCAGGGGCTCTGCTCTTCGAGTTCCAGGATGTGCCCCTTGAAAAGGAGCTATTAATGTTGGGAAAGCTTGCTCCCAGAGCTGTAATTTAGGCAGTAGTGATTTTCAACTTCAGAGAATTGGCTGAGTATTTCAAACATTTCCTTAGGACTCAGGATTTACAAGTTTGTTTGCTCAGCCAGCATGGGGGCCTCAGCCCTCTCAACCTGAATAAACAGATGGAAATGGAATCTGGTACTGAATACAGCTGCTGCTCTCTCCTCCCCCATCCACTGGCCCAAGTCCTCACCCAGAGCTTCCCTGTGAGATTCCAGACCCACTTTATGAACAGCTCCAGGGAGGACTCTGCACCTGCTGGACCTGGAACTTCACGTCTCTCATGGATGTGGCCCCATGAAAACCCACCTGCAGCTGGCTGGTCAGTCGGGTTTAGATACCCTTGGTCCCTCCTGTTTTGATTCCTCTTCTATCTTGATGTGAATCAGGACGTTGACATTCCCAGAGCCATTAAGAGAGGCGGTGACCAGGAGTCCCCCGTGCCTGCCCTGCTGCATGAAATGGCAGGATCCTTACAGAGAACACCCTTTCTTGAAAAGTGTGCTGCTTTCCTCCCCCCTGGCCTCCTCGCTCCACACTGGGTCCGGATGTGCTTTCTGTGGGTTGACAGCCCCCTGCTGTGTCCTGGGCCCAAATAGCACAGGCTCCACAAATCTCCCATGTCCTCTGGGGCGGTAGGACTAGCCTCCAATTTGCAGACTTGATGCCGCATCAAATTGCTTCCAGAGGGAAGTTCCCTCTATCCACATGCCCCACATATGCCCTGGGGTGTCCCTGGGACATCTCAGGGGACAGTGCCTCCAAAGCGCGAATCCTGCCCAACCTTTTGAGGTGTGAGCTCCTGGTGCTCCGTGGGCTTCTCAAGAAACCCAGGAAGTGCTCACATGGACAGAGAGCAATGGTGCAGTTCACCCCCTGGACAGATGAGCCCTGCCTCACCCAGAGGGGGCAAAGAAATCCCTTTACAGTAATGAGGACAGGGTGTGTGTGTGTGTGTGTGTGTGTGTGTGTGTGTGTGTGAGAGAGAGAGAGAGAGAGAGAGAGAGAGGAGTGAAGATGCTTCAGAAAAAGAGAAAAAGAAAAGGGAGAAAGAAAACAAAGAGAAGTCCAAGTAGAAGAAAGTTTATTTATATATCTTCTACAGGTGTGACCATCAAACTTCTGTTTTATTAGCGCCATAGTCAGAAAGGCGCGCACATACACATACACACACACACAGATGTAGAAAATAAAACTGTGCACAGCCAACTATAAGCATGGGAAATTTGTTTTGTGTGTGTGTGTGTGTGTGTGTGTGTGTGTGTGAGCCTCTGTGTGTGTGTGTGAGCCTCTGTGTGTGTGTGTGTGAGCCTCAGTGTGTGTGTGTGTGTGTGAGTGTGTGTGTGTGTGTGTGTGTGTGTGTGTGTGTGTGTGTGTGTGTGTGAGTGTCCCCTCCAGCAGTCCCGAAGCCACCCCGAGTGCCTCTCCAGCCCGCGCCCACGGCTGCCGCCCTGCCGGCGGCCTGCGCTGGGCCCGAGGGCGGGCTGGGCTGGGCTCGCGGGGGCGGCGGGTGCGGCCGTGGGTCCAGCGGCAGCAGCTCCCGCGGCGGCGGTTCGCGACGAGGCGCGCGATGGAGCCGAGCGCCCCGCAGCAGCTCCCGCGGCGGCCGTGCGCGATGGAGCCGCGCGAGGAGGACCGCGGGGACGGAGAGGACTGCGTGGACCAGGAGGACTGCGTGGACCAGGAGGACTGCGGGGACGCGGTGGCCGCCTGGTGGGACATGGTCGGGAGGAACGTGCGGTGAGTGCCGCCAGGAGGAAAGCAGTGCGGCCCGGCTGCTCATGGAGGGGAGGGGAGGGGAGGACCAGGGAGGGAGCGGGGAGCGCAAGGCTCTCCTTGGGGCCAAGGGCAGGCAACTGGGCTCCCAAGCGGGTGGAGGGGGAGCCTCAGAGGCCCAGAGCCCTGTGATCGGGGCCCTTGGAATGACCCTTATCCTCAACCTCAGCCCCTACCGTGGCGGAGACTCCGGGTCTGATTTTTAAAGAACTATCCGTCTGGGCTTCTGAAACAGAGATACCAGGAAGATGGCTCAGCTTCCCCTCTCTTATCTGCCTGGACCATTATAATCCATGTGGCATGCTTGGGTGGCAGCGCTTTAGGTTGGGGAGAGGGGGGGAGGTCTCTGGTGGAAGCTGTGGGGCAGGGCTGCTGGCTCTCTGGCTGTGAACTATCTGGCCTGTATTTAAAGAGCAAACATCCCTCCACGATGCTGGAGATGAGCAGGATAGTGAAACCATCACCTGGCGTCACCTGGGCCACGTTCTTGACCTTTAAATCTGAACTGTCTATGTGGATGCGTTTTTGTGTTCCTCCTTCCATGAACCCTTGCTCAAACAGTCGCCTTAAACCACCTGAACCCTCCAGCAATCAATTACCAGCCTTGTTGGCATTGCAGCCAGGTAATGCTTGGAGACCCAGGACCCAGGAACTTGGGTATCTTGTTTTGTTGGTGTGGGAAGTTATTGGCATTTTTGTTTACTTTTAAAAAAAAAATATATATATATATATATATTGTTATTGATTTCAAAGAGGAAGGGAGAGGGAGAGAGAGATAGAAACATCAAAGATGAGAGAGAATCATGGATCGGCTGCCTCCTGCACGCCCTATAAAGGGGATCAAGCCTGCGACCCGGGCATGTGGCCCTGACTGGGACTCAAATCATGACCTCCTGGTTCATAGGTGGACACTCAGCCACTGAGCCATGCTGGCCAGGCTGTTTACTTTTGTTTTTGTTTAGTTTTGTTCATTATGAAATACACAAGACTCGCATCGACAAAGGAGACTTCACTTTGGGACCTCCAGGCGGTGAAGACAAACACGGGTCTTGTCTTCTCTTCCTTCCATGGCTCCGGGCAGGGAGCAGAGAGCAGTGCTCCGGGGCCCAGCAGTGCAGCCCCGCCCCTTGTGTGGGGTCTGAACACCAGTCAGAATATTCCAGCTGACAGCACTTTTCAAACTTCCTATCCACAGGCTTTCTGTCCCTATAGGGCCCATTGTTCTGGGAAAACTGGCATTTATTGACTTTCTCCTTAGTGCTTTCTATAGCGCTGATGGCTGACGGGTTAACATTTATTTGGCAGAGAATCAGAGCTATAGGTCATGCTTTTAGAGAACAAGTCGCTTTTTTTGGAGACTGGAATGGAGATGGGGAATTGGGGACCCTCTACGATGTGCCTTACTAATTACTAAAAAAATAAGTCTCAAGAGATGCTTCCTGAAGGAATAAAGTCCTAGCAGCACATTCTTTACCTGAGCTAAAAATTACTGATCTAACTTGACATGGGCAGAGGCTGAGGCCCAGACCGATATCCAGAATGCCGGGCCGTTTTCGTTTCTCGGAGCCGGTCACCAGAGGTCAGCTCACAACATGAGAGCTTACTGTGCGCCCTTTCTTTCAGTTTCTACCTGTTGTTCCACAAATCTTTACGAGCTCAGCCCTGAGCTGGGCAGAGAGGAATGTAAGAGGATCATTGCAAACAGCATGGTTCTTGTCCGCAGCCTGGCCTTGAGTTGGGAGGTCAGGGCTAATGAAGAGAAAACAATCAGACAACAATGAAGGCTCCGATTATAATTGGTGGGAGGGGTGAAAAGAGAAGAAAGGTCCCCATAGGAAGATCTGTTTAGAGTAAGGTGGCCAGACGTCCTGCTTTTGGCGGGACAGTCCTGATTTTTAACAATTTGTCCCGCGCCCTTCAGCATTTTAAAAAAGTCCCAATTTTTGGAGAGATTTTTAAAACGCCGTGGGACGCGGGACAAATTGTTAAAAATCAGGACTGTCCCACCAAAAGGGGGATGTCTGGTCACCTTAGTTTAGAGAGGCTTTGACAGAGAAGGGACAGCTGAGTGCATGGGAAGGGAGTGGACGGTCTGGTAGGGAGGAAAGAAGAGGGGAGGATGTAGATGTACCTTGCTGCTTGGTGATCAGTGCGTGTTGGCTGAATGAATGGGAATCGATGGTGGTGGCTATGCAGCATGCCTTAGTATTTGGAATAGCTGTCTTGCCAAATGTAATTAGGTTTGGGCATCCCCAAGCTGGTTTGTAGACACCTCTGAGCATGAAGCATGGATGGTTTGCCCCGTAGCAGCTCAGGCCCCACCAGGTTTCTCCAAGAAGATATATCCCATTAGGTCCTGTAGCTCCTGCGGGAGGTTATGCAGGTGCAGCTGCCGCTGATCAAAGGGCAGGCGAAAGAGCACAAGCACCCAGGTGTCTGTTTGATGTGGCTGCCTGTTAGCGGGGAGTGGGCTGACGCTGCATCCTTCGCTCAAATAAGGTCTATGAGCCACGGGTGACTTTTGATCCCCACCGATCTGGGGGACATCAAACTGACAATCCCCTCGTTAAAAGCAGCGCTGTCCCTATGCCAAGGGGTCCGGCCACTCTGTTCTTTCTCACAGAAGTGCCTTCAGCTACCGGAGAGAAGGGTCCTGTATGAATTATTCTTTAAAGACAGGAACAAGTTTCCCTCTCCTGCCTTGGCCTCCCAAGCACCCCACTAATTTCAAAAGATAACTTGGCAGGAGCCTAACAGGAGGGGTAGCCGGAGTTCAGAGAGCCAGGTGAATGAAAGCTGGGGCTGGCCGACTGGGAGGAAGCATCAGAATTCCGATTGTGTTCAGTTCTGCCCGGTTTGGCTTGATCTGTGGCTCAAAGCGACTTCTCTAGGTTTTGATGTCTTATCTTTAAACTCAGAACAATAATGTCCTCTCCTTTCTACCTCCTTCGTGGAGGCTATTTTAAAACATTATGCAACTGTCATTTTCATTTCTTTCTTGCTGGGTTCATGAGTAGGCAGTTGCCTCTGTCTGACGTATATGAAGAGCTGTTCATTGCCCTTAGCCCACCTATCTTCCCCACTCCCTGCAGAGTTGTTGGAAATCCATCGGAAAATCATTATCTCCTTCCTCCAGGCCTCTCCCAAACGTTCTAAGCGCTCTGGCTTTTAAGTTATTAACACTGGAGGGAAGTTTTCTTGTTTAGAGGTCATTCTTTGATACTTTGGTATCAGAAGACTCCTGAGAATATAGGTGCAGGAAGTGGGGAGTAAGTGGGAGCAGGAAGGGACCCTGAGAGGGGGCGAAAGTGCAGAAATGCGAGAAGAGGATCCTGAATCAGCCTTCTCCAAAAGCTGAGTTTTGCCGGAGACCAGCCTCTCCCCTGGGGCTCATTTTTGTTTGCATGAGTGGCCAGATGAATTCGCCAGGAGTGTGACAGCTCACGGGAGGTCATCACGGAAGTCTGGGGTCAGAGAGACCTGGTCAGGTGGCTGTGTCACTCACCGGTTGTGTAACCTCGGGCAGGTCCCTTAACTTGTCAGTCTTCTCATTTGCAAAGCACAGGTAACGATAGTTATCTTCTCTCTGCCTCTGGTCTAGGGGAAACAATTCATCAAAAGTGCTTTCCGCATCCCTGACGGCACGGTTTGCTTACACGGAGCAGTCTTTACATTGACTGCTCACAGTAGGGAAAGGGATGTGGACAAAAACTGGAAACAGGAGGTGTTGACACTGATCTTGTTTCTCAAAGGTCAAAGACAAGCATCCCTCTTGAGAGATGTGGCTAGAGACCGACATTAGTCATGGACAAATCATAGTTTGTCTGCTGATGGCTCCCAGTTTAGGTGGCTTGTGACACAGGGAACAGTAGGATAAACTATTTGCATGACCCCACTGTGTGCTCCCCTGAGCAGGCCCCAGCCCTGTTGTAGCCAACCTCCAGGTCCTCCCCTCTCCCCACTCTGCCCCGCGTGGTCCCTCTCAGCAGGGATGACACAACAGAAGTGGGGGTTTTCTCTTATCGGCTCATTTCTTCCTGAAACCCAGTCAGAAGAGTGAGGATCTGATGATTATTTTCATACTGCTTTAGCCTAAGAATAATAACTAATACATACAGCACTGAATTACGATATAATTAAAAACTGGGGCAACTGTTCAATTGAATTCTGGTTCCTGATGGCTTTGGGGTCCTTCTATGGGACTGCAGTGAGGGCATAAGCCTGGTGTCCCCTCCTCTCCTGTCCTGTCATGCTTGGGCTTTCCCACAGCTGGTTGGGGCCCTGCCCTATCGCTTTCCTCACCTGCTACTCCTTAGTGCCTGCCCAGTCTTGATCTGCCCTAATTACATATAGTTCTGTGAATACTTACTAGTAAATGTCAAGTTATCTGTAATTTCTTGTGTTGGTCTCTGAAATTTGATTTGGACCTTAAGAGAAAAAAACAAAACCTGGACTGATTTTTGAGTACGCTGTTTGTTTCACGATGTCTTGCAGATCTATTCCACAATGCTGTGAAACACTCGGAAGAAAAATTGCCACTCAGTACAACAGCTTTACCAGTAAACCATTAAAAGAGCACATTTTCCCTCCTCTGATGGACATGCTAATTTATTTTAATTTTTGTAAGTATGTACCCTTCATGAATTTGCCTATATATTTTTCCCAAATAAGGAACTCTCTGCCCCTAAAGTTGTGGCACAATGAGAAAACACGGCAGTTATAAAGTTGTGGTTCAAGTTAAATGGTCTGAAGTCAATTTACTAATAATGGCTTTGGAGTTTAGCATAGGCCCTTGCAATCTGTTGGAGATAGAAAACCATGGCTTTGTGGGTAGTTTTCCAATTAAGGAGCTCTGACTTCAAATCAACTATTACTGCGAATGTTTTACTGCCTACTGTATTCTCTTTTTCACTTCCTCTTCTTGAGATCCCACCATCAGCACTTCTCTCTCTCTCTCTCTCTCTCTCTCTATATATATATATATATATAGAGAGAGAGAGAGAGAGAGAGAGAGAAGTGCTGATGGTGGGATCTCAATATAGACAAGAAGAGGAAGTGAAAAAGAGAATACAGTAGGCAGTAAAACATTATATATATATATATATATATATATATATATAGAGAGAGAGAGAGAGAGAGAGAGAGAGAGAGAGAGAAGTGCTGATGGTGGGATCCTATTTTCCCATGTCTTTTCCACTAAGTGCTATGTTAATCAATGCACTACAGAATCCTTCTAGTCCATGGGTAATACTCTCACCTACATGTCCCTAGGTGTTATATGCTTATCCTGGACATTTCTCTTTAAAAAGTAACACTTGGCAGTAGCAGAACACTCATTACCTGTTCTAGGTCTTCTTACCTTTTTAGAGAAATGGTCTCCTTTGCTTTTAGCTCCAGATAAGGATAAGGATTGAATAAATTCCCTGCTATGAGCTACCACTCACCAGTGCTATTTTAAAAATCTAGCTTTAAAGAATTTTTTTTGTGCCAATTCTTCTATAAGCTATTCCTAGTTTATAAAATAAAATACTTTGTTAATTAAGAGTAACTACCATAGGAACAAAACTAGCATGCTTTCCTTTTAAACCAAAAGAAGAAAAGTAGTTTTGTCCAAATGGAAATCATGGAAGAGAGAGGAAAAAAAAGAAAAAAAAGAAAAACATACACCAATAAATGGAAAATATGAAGTAAGGTGGTTGAAATATATTAAATATAAAATAATTGCAAATATTTCAAGCTCATCAATGGAAAACCTAGAATCTCAGATTGGATTAAAAAAAAAACAAAACAAGTTCCAAGGATAAATAATCTCCATCAGACACACTAAAAAAAAAAAAAAAAAAATGACACAGAAAGATAGAAGAGTGAAAAAAGATAGACCAACTAACCATAGGTCAGAATAAAGCTGGGGTAAGTAGCTTAGTAACTGACAAAATAGAATTTATGGTAGCAAAATACTGTATAAGGGAAATTAGAGCAAGAAAACATAACTATCATGAACACATGTGTACAAAATACCATGTCATTTAACAAAAAAGAGGTAAAATATGTTGCTAAGAATTTGGCGTAGTAGCTTGCAACTGAGAAACATGTTAGCTACAAAACTAATTACTTTTTTTACTTTTTTTGATTGTGATAAAAAACAAACAAACACACCTGGGCTTTGATTCTGGGAGATGATAATGATTTCTGCTTTCCAGTCAAAGCACCGTTTCTTGTGGACTTAAAGAAGCCGGAGTTAAAGATGCCTCACACAGTGAACTTCTATATCAAGGTTGAGCCTGGGGTGATTCTGGGAATCTGGTGAGTGACCTCCTGGACGCTGGGCTGCGTATGGACTTGGTGTTCGTGTTACCAGGGCAGGGGCGAGCAATGCTGGGCTACTTCGGGGGAGAGGTTGGTGTTCCTTGGAGGCACCGGGAGCTGCTCCATGCACCTTCCCTTTGTATTGATACTTGACCTGCTTCAGGGAGCTTTCCAGGAACGTTACTTTGGAGTGTGACAACTTTTTAGTGTTGTGCTGCTTTGGGTCCTTCTCCAGGCTTGGAGGACCTGGCCCTGGCCCCTCCTCCTGACGTGTTCCACACCAACCACTCCTCCCATTCCGCTGCAGACCCACCAGCCTCCTTGCGTACCAAGCCACACTCTGTGTCTGCAACAATTCTATCTCCCTGCTCCTTCTGTCCTGCCTTCTTCCTAACCAACTGCCTACTCACCCTCTGGGTCTTAGGTGATTTTCAGAGAAGCTTTTCCTCATCTCCATTCTAGGCATATGCTACTGGCAGCCTGTATTTGTCCTTTGTGGCATTGATTCCCACTGTAATTTAAGGAATGTTTGTGTGATTATCTGTGTTTGTCTTCCCTTATAAGACACTGTCTTTTTTTTTTAATCCTCACCTGAGTATATGTTTTTTATTGATTTTGAGACAGAGAGAAACATTGATGCATGAGAGAAACATTTACTGGTTGCCTCCCATAAGCACCCCGACTGGGGATCAAACCAGCAACCTTTTGGTGTATGTGATGACACTCCAACTGACTGAGCCACCTGGCCAGGACCAAGATTATATCTTTCATAGGTGACTCTGTTTGTGGGTGTTCATTGCTTAGCACAGTGCCTGGCAACAAACAAATGTTTGTCAAACAAAGTCATGGACATTCTATTGCCTTTTAAGTACACTAATCTCAATATCTTCTTTTGTTTGGTTCTACTACTGTTCTTAGCTGCCAATTTTCCAGTGCTGATTTATATTTCATCTCCCCAAATTTAATCATGTGATCATGGAATGTTTAGGAACCAATATATTCACATACCTTCTTCCTAAACTGCAGGGACAGTTCAGTTAAGAATACTGGAGTTTGACAATGTTTTTATTCTTTTAAAATATATATATACATTTAAAAATCAATTATATATAATTGGTACCTGTCTTCTCAGTGCAGAGGCCTGGGATTTGCTGTGAGCCTTTCTGCCTCTAAAGACTTAGAGGACTGAACACTTGTCAGTTCTCCAAGTCACCTTATGACATGTCATGTGGCAGTGTTTTATGTTTTCAGGGTTTATTCATTGGTTTAACAAGGTGGAGGAAGTGAAGCTCAGACAGGTGTTTATTAGTAAAATATCACAAAGTCACTGGGTTTATTGAGTAAAATAGCTTAGTTTCATGTGACAGTTCTTTTTTTCTCACCTAAGCGGATTTCCCTGTAAATTCTTACCAACTTGTCTATTCAGCCAAAACAATAGCATGTACAAATATCTGTTATCTTTTACTTGTTTCCACTCAATGGACTGCGTTTTGGTGGATTGAACCCAAGAACTGCAGTGTTGGAAGATTATTAGGTGTGGGAGTCAGAAGAACTAAAACAGTAAATGGTAAAAAGGGGTTGGCTCTGTGCATGGGGGAGACGGGGTAGAGCAATAGTGGTTTTCATTATAGGATTCTTTGTAGTATTATAGTTTAATGTCTAGCATGTGCATATACTACTGAGATAAACAACTATATATGCAAAATTATCTATCTATCTACCTACCTACCTATCTATCTTACTGAGATAAGGAGTGTTTCAGACTTTGACAAGGATGGGGAACTCTTCTCTCTATCCATGTTTGTCAAAAACTTTCCTTGCTCTTCAGGCACACAGTTCCCAGCTGCCGGGGGGAAGATGCTAAAGGGAAGGACCGTTGCTGGTACGAAGCAGCCCTTCATGATGGCAACCCAATTATTGTCTATCTTCATGGCAGTGCCGAACACAGGTCAGTGGCTTTGCTTGGGTATTCATTCACTCATTCACTCATTCACTCATTCACTCATTCATTTAAAGACAGAGAGACAGAGAAAGACAGAGCATTTCAGCTCTGTAAGGGAGTGAAAGGCAGGGCTCAGTTTTCAACTCTAAGCATGCCTCCACGTATTTTTTTTTCCTTTGATAATTTCTAAAAAAATATATATTTTATTGATTTTTTTTACAGAAAGGAAGAGATAGGGATAGAGAGCTAGAAACATCGATGAGAAAGAAACATGGACCAGCTGCCTCCTGCACACTCCCCATTGGGGTTGTGCCCGCAACCCAGGTACATGCCCTTGACCAGAATCGAACCTGGGACTTTTCTGTCTGCAGACTGATCTATCCACTGAGCCAAACTGGTTTCGGCCTTTGATGAAATTTGATGCTGTTCTAGCAGTAGGCTTCTATTTAAAAACAAAATCCATATGTAGAATAATGTTGATCCTTAACTGAGAGGGATACTAATTTATAAGGTTTAGATATTAGTTTTCCAGGAATGCAGTGGTTCCTTTATTCTCTGAGAGTGTCTGAAATGATGGCTTGACCCCATGGATGATTGGATAGGGAATAGGCATGACATATGGGGGTAGGAAGAGCAATTTCCACATCAGTGGTCTTTTCACAGAAATACATAAAGACCCTTTTATTTAGCACAAATCCTATTAATCAACAGTATGGACTTCTGGTGATCACCTGGAATTCTGACCATAGGTACTGAATTCTAGCCCAGGATATTGATGCCCCAGCTTCCTCTCTGTGGTCCCAGCCTTGCTTTGTGACAAAGATGCCTCCCAGAAGCCTGGCTCTCCTTTGATGTGCTGCCAGAGCCATCAGTGGGCCTGGAATTGTGGTGGGTGATGCTTATCAGCGGTGACTGGGCCACCTCAGCATGGGGGAGGGCAGTGTGCCTTGCAGACCCTCTGACCTGGTTCTGTCTTCGGAGGGACACTTAAACTAAGTGACAAGGCCTGGCATCCGTCCCTTGGCTCCCTTGCCTAAGTCTCTTTTTCTCACTGTCTTTTTCCATCAGATGATGGCTTTCTCAAGACATGCCTTTGCTCAAGGGCTTTCTCAAGGTGTCGCTTTTAGTCACATGTACAGAGATTGCCTGCGAATTTACCATTTTCCAACATGGTTCGACGTTCTGGTAGTACGGACTTGCACATGGTGTTCCAATGCACCTGCTTGCAGGATCTGGCCAATCACAATTCCTGTCTGCCCCGCTGGAGACTCTGCTATTGCTTCAGTCATCACAGATTCACTAGCTCAGGGGTCAGCCCCAGCCTCCTCCTGGCCCCTGCCCACAAGTCTCAGCATGCATCAGTAGTCCTGAGCCGAAAGGGGGCCAAATGGAGGCTATGGAGGACCTTGATGGAAACAGTGGTTCTAGATTTGGGATCCATAAAAGCCCGAGAAGGGCCATGAACCCCCTCCCAAAACTGTACATAGAATTTGAAGTGTAAGTAAATACCTTTTACCCTCTGGGAAATGGGTCCAGAGCTTCAACCACATGTTCAAAGGTTTATAAAACTTGGCTCTGAGACAAAATGTTAAAGAAGAGTATTCCAGAGTCGACAAGATGGCTGCGCCCAGGTGAACACCTAGCCGCAGCCTCACACAACAATTTCAATAAAATACAACTAAAATATAAAATGGACATTACCCAGAACTACAGGAAAGTTGACTGACTGGAAATTCTACAACGAGAAGCAAGGAGAAAACCAGAAGGAAGCGCAGAGGAGCTGGAAAAGCCCAAGGTACGGAGACATGCGGCGCGCGGAGAGGACGGAGCCGGAGAGGAGGGAGCAGAGTGCCTGGTGGGCGTTCCCTGGCGGGAAGGAGATAAAAGCTCTGACTGTGCTGGGCCCCCGACTGCTCTGAACCCCAGTTCTAGGCCAGACCCCGGGGACCCAGGCTCACACAGAGGGAACTGGGCTGCGAGGCGGAACCCGGAGAAGCGGCGAAAGGAGGTCCCGGCAGCGCGCAGTGCGCGCAGAGAAGGGACGGCCGGCTGTGCCGCGGGATTGCCTGGCAGGAAGGAGACAGGGGCTCCGGACTGTTCTTAACGCCACCTCCAACTCCACTTCCAACTGAACTGCACCCCAATACCGGGCTCATTGGGGGAGAGCATTAACTGTTTGGCATCAGGCGAAAATCGAGGGCACCTTTCTCTCAGAGGCGCTGGCAGCGAGCACTGAAGGACCCGCATAGGGCGGGGCTGACTGAAGCCAAAGCTGCAGGCTCCACCCTGAAACCCCGCCCCATCTGTAGCTGCGAAATGCGACAACGAAATAGATCACAAACAAAAGAAATGGAGGACAAAAAGCGGCTGGATATAGAGTTCAAATCTACGCTTATAAGATTTTTCAAGAATTTCCTAGAAAAAATGGATAAGACCTATGAAGATATGAAAAGAGATCAACTAGAATTAATAAGGAGTCATCAAGAAATGATAAGGGATCAACAAGAAATGATAAGGGATCAACAAGAAATAAAGAATACATTGTCTGAAATAAAAAATATTTTACAGAGTCCTAAAAACAGAAGGGAAGATCGCAAGAATCAAGTCAAAGATTTGGAACATAAAGAGCCAGAAGACACTCCTCCACAGAAGCTAGAAGGCAAGAGAATCCAGAAAATTGAAGATAATGTAAGAAACCTCTGGGACAACTTCAAGCGAACCAACATCAGAATTATGGGGGTCCCAGAAGATGAGAGAGAGCAAGATATTGAAAACATACTGAAAGAAATAGTGACAGAAAACTTCCCCCACATGGTGAAAGCATTAGACTTACATGTCCAGGAAGCGCACAGAACTCCAAACAAAAGGAATCCGAAGAGGACCACAGCAAGACACATCATAATTAAAATTCCAAGAGCAAAAGACAAAGAATATTAAAAGCAGCAAGAGCAAAAAAGGTAGTTACCTATAAAGGAGCACCTATACGATTGTCAGCTGACTTCTCAACAGAAACCATGCAGGCCAGAAGGGAATGGCAAGAAATATTTAAGGTGATGAATAGTAAGAACCTACAGCCAAAGATAATCTATCCAGCAAAGCTATCACTCAGAATCGAAGGTCAGATAAAGAGCTTCACTAATAAAAAAAAAGCTAAAGGAGTTCATCAACACCAAACCAGAATTATATGAATTGCTAAAGGGGGTTCTTTCAGAAGAGAAAGTAAACAAAGATAAAAACTATGAACAACAAATACGTAACTATCAACAAGTGAATCTAAAAACCAAGGAAATTAAAAAAAAAATCTGATGAACAATAGTAACTGTTGAATATAATAGAATCAGAGGTATGGAAGGGGAGTGAACTGACGATTCTTGGGGAAAAGGGGAGAGAGGGGCATGGGAAGAGACTGAACATAAACTGTGCACCTATGGATGAGGACAATGGGGAGTGGGGAAAGGGCAGAGGGTGGGATGGGAACCTGGTGGAGGAGAGCAATGGTGGGGAGGAAAAAAAGGAACATTTGTAATAATATGAACAATAAAAACTTATTTAAAAAAATGTTAAAGAAATCTCTGCCTTTTGAGTTATTGTTGCCTTCTGTTTCATTCACGTGTGATATGGTTATTCTGGAAACCAATGTTTCTTGTACCAGGGACCTGAGTATCTGTAAGGTTTGAGGCTCAGGAAACTGACCACCAAGACATTTTGAAGTTTATTCCCCAGTAATGAGCGGGACTCATTACGGAGGTAGAGAAATCAGAATTGAAGGAGTGGGGAGGGGGCAGGGAACCCAGCCGGGCTGCCGCCTGGACGTGGAGGACAAGCAGCATGTGGGCTGGTTTGGGGTCTTTTTAAGGGGAGGAACAGGAGAGGGATGGACCCAGGGCAGGACAGGAAGGGGTAGGCTCCAGGACACTTTGGCACGTGCTGATTGGTGGTTCAATGTCTTGGGGATGTCTCTGTGACAGATGCCAGAATTGTCATAACTCTGCCCACCAGTTGGGAGGAGGGAGAACCTGATAGTATCCTTTGCTTCATCCGACACTTGGTGGCTGAGTGGATGGGGACCAGATTTTAGAGCAGCGAATCATCCTTTGTTCTAAGAAGCCACTTTCTGGGACTTACTTCCTGTTAGCTTCTGAAAGTATTAGAAATAAGGTTTGCTGTGCAGGAGTGCGAGGAGATGGGTTTAATGCTTAGTCATCAAATGCTATGACAAGGAGTGGAGACCTGGCGCCCAGCATTCATGCAGAGGAGCTGGGCAGCAGTGGGGAGCCCTCAGTCATTCCCCTGACACATCCATTATCCTTTCTCCTTGTTATTTATTTCTCTGACCTGAAGAAGAAAGGTGTGAGATCATATGCCAGCAGCATGATAGCGACTTTTATTGAATTTGTCTTCCCAGTTCCTAAATCTTGTTCTCTCTTTCTTTTTTTTCTTTTAACCTTTTCTACAGGGCAGCTCGTCACAGGCTTAATCTAGTAAAGGTATGTCTGAAGGGGCCCCGAGGCACCCATTTATATCTCCATGTCTCCATGTATTCTTTTCTGGGCTAGGGCTGTGGATCTTCCTCAGCTTCAGCAAGGTTATCGACTGAGAGCTCCCCAAAGTGGGTTTGGTGTTTGGGGCCCAAAGTCCCATGAGTGAGTGGACTTTCCTTTCAGCCTTGACCATGGGGGATCAAAATAGATGTGACTATCTCTGAGTCCCAAAGCGCTTTCACGAATGCATTGCCTTCATTAGCAGATGGAGTTGATGACATATTTGTTTGCCTTTCTGAGGCTGGGGGATGGATTGAGAGCTGATAGCTCAATTGATGTTTCTTTCTTTTCTGATTTAACCCACTGAAATTAATAATCATTCCAAGTGTGTATACATTTTGGGGACACCCTGTACTAGGTGCAAAAGTCACTCCTACAAGAAACAGCCATTTCTGTGATACAGGTAAAGACGTAGAGTGTCTGTTTTTAAGTCATTCACCCTGGCTTCAGCTCCATGAAGGGTTTTGCAGCGTGGATGGTGGCCACACTCAACTGTCCTCGCCTGCTCCAGGACTGCAGCCCTCAGCATTTCCAGGTGTGAGGGAGAGGGCAGGCTTTGCACTCACTGTCTCTGCCTCTGACTCAGAGCCGGTCAGCAGGTTGTTGATCCTCTCCCACATGCCAGTTGGGTAATTTTTTGCCACAGGTGACCAGGCAGCTTGTCCAGTTACTGACCACAAGACCTGATCTCGCCTGTCACGTGCCAGCTCCCACCTCCACTCTTTCTTGATTTAACAGTAAGAGTGCGGTCCAGAATCCCCAGCCTCTTCTTCATCCTCTCTCCCAGTTCAGACAGGAAGCTCCTCTCTCCACTGCCCCTCAGAGCTGCCTTTGGCGGAGGAGTGGTAGGCTGGATACAGTTTTGCCTGGGGTGGTGATGCCCATTAGTGTTTAGGTCTGCTCTCCACCCTGCACCCCTCTCTGTGCACTTCCCACAGGGGATGGTGGTGAAGCTGATGTGTCCCGCCCACTCTTGGCAGAGCTGGGAGGTCCCTTGTGTGCACAGAAGGAAGAGTTGGCGGTGTAGTCATCCCCGTGGCAGCAGGGGTGGGTGGGAAGGTATGATGGCACTTCTTCCCCCGGGTGGATTCTGGATACCACAGCCACAGTCCTCATCTCCCAGCCTGACCGTGCCTCCTGGGCTCTTTATTTACTTATTTGGTTAGGTGGTGACTTTGAAATGAAATTGCTACAGAAAACTTTAAGCATTAAGTTTATTCTTCTTTGGGATTTTTTTCCCCCCAAGAGATAAATTCTTAGATTCCGTTGCTGTTGTTATTCTTGAGTTGGATTGTCAAATGGTCCTTCAATTTACAGTGTCACAAATAACACACGAATATTTCTATTTCCCTGGGTGCTTAACTGCCCTGCTTCTTAGGTAACTTTTTTTTTTTTTTTTGAATGGATGTAGTTTAAATAGGTATTAAAAAGTTACATTTATTTTCTCATTATCAGTTCTATTTTTTAAAATATATTTTTATTGATTTCAGAGAGGAAAGAAGAGGGAGAGAGAGATAGAAACATCAGTGATGAGAGAGAATCATTGACTGGCTGCCTCTTGCAAGCCCCCTACTGGGGATCAGGCCAGCAACCCAGGCATGTACCTTTGATCAGAATCAAACCCAGAACCCTTCAGTCCACAGGCCGATGCTCTGTCCACTGAGCCAAACCAGCTAGGGCTATCAGTTCTGTTTGTATGTAAAAGTTCATAATGAGTTTCAGCCACCCACATCCACCCACAGCCTCGGGAGAGGAGGCACGGTATTTGGACACAGGCAGGCCCAGGTGTGAATCTTGGTTCTGCCTCTAGACATTTGGGTGACCAAATACGAACAGATTATCTAAACTCCCCACAGCTCAGTTTCTGTATCTGTTACATGGAGAGAATACCGACCTTATGGGACTATTGTGAGGATTTAGTTTTAAAAGTGTCTGTACAGTAAACTTTGTCCTTTTCTCTGTCTTCCCTTTGTCTGTCTTTGTAGTTCAAAGTTATGTTTTCATATTCTTTCTTCATTTGTCTACATAGGGCTTGGCAGTGGTTTGATATCATCCAATGATCTCTTTATCTTTGATTGATATTAACTCTTTATCTGTTTATAATAATAAAAGGGTAATATGCTAATTAGACCAGATGTCCTCCCCGATGAAGCCAGGGCTGGAGGGAAGCCACCCAGGTCTCCGGTGCCTGCCGGTGGCCAGAGGAGGGAAGCCCGGATCCTGGGTGTTGGAGGGAAGCTGGAGCCGGCAGCCGGGGGAAGGAAGGCCAACTTTTGCATGAATTTTTGTGCATCAGGCCTCTAGTATTTAATATAACGATCTCCCCCTTATTTGATTGCCTCTACTACAATTCTGTATAGAGTTCTTATTCTCAAGGGAATTCTTAAAAAGGACATTTACTATGTACCAAGTTATTTTAATATGTCATCTCATGTAATCTTCCAACAATCCTAAAGGCAGCTACTATTGTTTTTCACTTTTCAGAATAACATTGGCATATTTAAATGTTAACTGGCTTGCCCAGAGTCACGGAGCTGGCAAGTGGCCCAAGGTCACGGAGCTGGCAAGTGGCAGAGCCACACTGGGACCCAGGCTGTCGAACCCAGTCTGCCACACTGCGCTCCTTACTTCCCAGTGAGTCTGGCCATCTCAAGATTAAAGGAAAACACCAGATTTCAAAAATAAATCTTTTCCCTACTTATTTATTAAAGTGTCTTGAGGGTTATGGAAATGCCAAACCTTTTCTGTCTGCGTCTTCTAATGGAAGATAACGGCTCCTTTGTCATCTAGGTGCTGAGCGATGGTGGCTTTCACGTCTTGTCTGTTGACTACAGAGGTATGTGCTAAGATCAGTGCACAGATTTTTCCAGAAGCAGGAGGCTTTCCGTGATTCCCACTTTGGAGGCGGTGATACTGTGTTTGCCTTTTCTTGCTGCCAGGGTTCGGGGACTCTACGGGTAAGCCCACAGAGGAGGGACTGACTGCGGACGCTATTTGTGTTTATAAGTGGACCAAGGCAAGAAGTGGCTCCACCCCCGTGTGCCTCTGGGGCCACTCTCTGGGTACAGGGTAAGTGGGGTCTGCCGACGGGTCCATGGGGTGTCCTTGGGGCTCCAGGCAGGAGTGAGCCCTGAAAGGACCAATACCTTAACCCAGTGGTCGGCAAACTCATTACTCAACAGAGCCAAATATCAACAGTACAACGATTGAAAATTCTTTTGAGAGTCAAATTTTTTAAACTTAAACTTCTTCTTATGCCACTTCTTCAAAATGGACTTGCCCAGGCCGTGGTATTCTGTGGAAGAGCCACACTGAAGGGGCCAAAGAGCCGCATGTGGCTCGCGAGCCGCAGTTTGCGAACCACGGTGCTAGGGCAGCGGTCGCCAACCTTTCAGACCTCACGGACCACCAGTGGCGACAGAGACTCTCTGGCTTCTCTCACTTCCCACATGTGGCTGGAAACCTTGCCCTCTCAGTGTGTCTGTTTGTAAAACACGGGAGCCCTACAGTTACCTGTGACTCTGGAGCCCATTGCAGAGCTCTCCTTGAGAGTTTTAAGGAAAAGGGTTCTTAATTTAGAGTCAGAGGACCCCTGGAAACCCTGTGCAAAATGTTGTGTCTATGTGCATTTTCTATCCGGAGCTTCCAGAGCTTCCATCAGATGCTCTGGCTGGGTGTCCCATTTTCTATCATTTACTTGACCTTTAAGTCACGGCTTCACATATGCCCTAATTTTCATTGCTTTCCAGAGTTGTAACGAATGCCGCAAGAGTCCTGGAAGAGAAAGGTACTATCCAATGATTCCGTGGTATAATTTCCTGGCTGCAGATGGGGAACTAAAAAGAGTCAAGAGACTACTGGGTACACTTCCAACACAGAGACACTAAAGCACCCCAACTTTAGGCAGTTTCTGATCATGCAGCAAACATTCATTTTTCTCTCCATTTAATAAAAAAAACAATAGTTGTTTTTCAAGATGATGAAATTAAAAAATAAATACCCAGGAGAGACTTAAAATTACCTTTGAAAGAGCCTTCATTGTGAAGTGATAATCACTGTTATTATGGAGCTATTTGGGTCACAGGAGAGGAAAATAATGCGTATGGAATAACAGGCAGGGCTCGCTCCCTGCAGCCCTTCTTAGATAATATTTATGTCAGCATTTCTAAAAGTGTCCTGAGAACTGCCTGTATCAGAATCTCCTGGGGATGTTTTTTTTTTTTTTTTTTTTTTTTTTTTTTTTAACACAGGTTTCCTGGATCTGTTTTCATGATTGGAATCTCTGTGAATAGGACAAGGTGACTTTGACAACATTAAAAGCTTGTACTCGCTTGCATCACATCTTAAACTTTACTTGGCAATACAGGTCAGGTGGAGTTACATAAACATTTTAAAGCAAGTCACCTGCTATTCACAATCTTAATTACATATGTAAATAAACTAAGCATTATTTCAATGCTCCTCTAAGCTCTCACAGCTCCCTGTCGCTTCCTTCACAGTGTTGACTCTGTTATAATATCTGAACTAAATTCTCACATACATGAATACTTCATTTCCTAGATAATGCAGTGACCTTGGAACACTGGTTCCATCCACTTCCTCAGATTATGAACTCTTGCTATCATGTATTTTAATTTACTCTGTACACACGCCATAAAACATTATTCTTCTTACATTATAAAAGCCAATATTTAGATTTACTTTTCTTTGCTCTTTATTAGTTTCAGCATTTTTCTGTTTTTTCAGAGATTTTTGTTCTGCCTGTCTATTGGTGATGAGTTCTCTCAGTTTTGGTCTGAAGATGTCTTTATTGCATCTTCATTCTTTAAGGATATTTTCACTGGGCATAGAATTCTAGGTTGGCAATAATTTTATTCCAACACGTTGTTCAGGGTTTCACTGTTTTATTAGGAATTCAGCTGCCAGTCTTATTGTTGCTCCTTTGAAGAAAATGCTTTTTTCTCTGACCGTTCTTGAGATTTCCTTTTGGTCTTGGCTTTACAAAATCTCACTGATTTAGCAGCCCTCAGATGCCTTCAAACACACACATACACATGCACAGCTCCTCTAACACACATTTTCTGATTGTTCTCTGGGAAAGTGTTGGCCAAAACAACCTAATCAGCTTCTGGCACATTCTTAACAGTGAATCGCAGAACAGTTTTCCTTCCCATAGTACTTTGCTTTCTAAAATTATCCAAGGCTTGACAATCTGGTTTTGTTTTAGAGGAAGGTGCTGGTTTGCAACTACCATGTGCAGGGAAATCTCTTGGTTGGTGGGTGGGGGAGCTTGTTAGAAATGCACATTCTCACCACCACCCCCGACCCCCCTAAAGATTCTGACTTCTGATTCAGTAAGTCTGGAGTGGGTTCCAGGAATTTGCATTATTAATAAGTTTCACAAATGATGTACAAGACCTTTAGTACCCCTTATTTAGGGAAGGTGATATTTAAATACTATGCTAGGGGAGTTATTTCTTTTCTATATTTTCAAGGATCCCCAGTTGATGCTATTGTTCTGGAAGCTCCATTTACCAACATGTGGACTGCAAGTATCAATTATCCCTTGTTAAAGGTGAGTCTCTTATTCATCTTCACAAGATGTCAAAGTGTTTCCACACATTTATGTTTCTTAACCACATTCTTTTTCTTAATTAGTTTTATATGCCTCTAAGTTATTCTAACTTGAGATAGGTTATTAGCCAGTTGCAATTAAAGAAGGGCATGAATCCTGGCTTTTGGAGTTGGTAGTCCTTTTATTTTCTTCTAATAGATTGAGTAGCTTATTAAAAGCCAAAGTTTTATTTTTGATAATTTTTAATAAACAAGTTAGGTTTATCTATTTATTATTTACCTAGTTATTATTCATAATTTGATGAGAAGACAGTCTCTAGAGAATCCAAGGAAGCTGCCGAATGATTTTATACAGTATCCCATGTAGAGGAGACAGTCTTTCCAAGAAGATAAGATATAAGGAATTGGGCAACAAGTTTATCCAAATTTTATAATTTTATTTCAAGCCCAATACTCAATTGCGTATAGTCATACATCCATATAAATGTTAGCAAATGAGTGAAAGGGAGGAAGAGAAGTGGGGGGCGGAGGGAGGGAGGGATGGAAGGAGGGAGGGAGGGAGGGAGAGAGGGAGGGAGGGAGGGAGAGAAGGAGGGAGGGAGGGAGGGAGGGAGGGAGGGAGAGAGAGAGAGAGAGAGAGAGAGAGAGAGAGAGAGAGAGAGAGAGAGAGAATAGGAGAGATTCTTAAAAAGAATACATGGCCACACAATTTAAATTGTTGTCTAATATTGGAAGGCAATGTAGTGCACTTTTATCCAGCTGTCTACTTTTGGAATCTTTTGTACAATAAACCCTCCTACAACATCCTGGAATTTGCTTAACTGTTTCAGAGAAAGGCAGTACATTACTTCTATGACAGCTATTTCACAGAATCACAGAATCTTGAAAATGTCTAAACTTCAACTCAATACAGGAATCTCCTCTACAACAAGCATGTCAAACTCAAAGGCTAACACGGGCCATATAAACAAGGTTTAAGTTTATGTGAGCTGTAAAAAAACAAAAGCTTCAATTTCATAGAAACGGAATTTATTTAGATAGAGACATGCTGAATACAAAGGGCTGAAATAAATGAGTAATCCTTAATGTAAAATAATAGAACATTTTAATAAAAATTAATATTTTTTCTTGAACATTAACTTATCAGACACTGAATAACTGCACAAATTAGTAAGTGTAATGCAAATAAACCTATTTTTCTTGTTTGCCGAAAGTGAAATATTTCCTGTTGTACACACCAAATGTCAGTCCAAGTCTAATGATGTGGCAATCAGCTGCTAAAATATTCGCTGCTAGTATTAGTGGGGAGAAATGGTGCACCTGCGCATAAGGGAAATGAATGCAACATGATTATAATAATAAATAATTAATGAACATTTGTAGTTTGTTATTAATAATTATGTATAACAGGATATTGTAAAAATCAAGTTACGAATTTTTTATTAAAATGTTTCTTACATATCATTGTATTGGCTGGGCTGCAAAAATATATATGGGCCATGAGTTGGACATGCTTGCTGTACAATCTAAAATACGGAATGCTGAGTAACTTAAGATTTAATAAATACAACATTTTCAATTGGTTCTAGAGAGATGACTGAATATTCATTTTAAGATAACCATTACTTGATCATCTATTATATTACTCCAAGTAATTACTAATAAACACAAACTTTTGGTATTTTGCAATTCAGATACAGTACAGTCTTTCCACTTTTGTTTCTTTTTAAAAATTTTATAATTTTGAAAATTAACATAATAGAGAAAATACATGATATAGCAAATATAAACTGAACACCTAAGTCAAAATGTAACAAACATTGCCCTAGCTGGGGCGGCTCAGTTGGTTGGAGCATCGTCGATTCCCCATCAGGACATGTTCCCAGGTTTCCAATTCCATCCCAGTGGGGGCACATTGAGGAGGCAACAAATTGATGTTTTTCTCTCACATTGATGTTTCTCTCTCTCTCTCCCTTCTTCTCTATAACAATAAAAAAATTAACCAACATGCAAATCAAGAAATTAGCATCACCAGAAGACTTATCTGTATGTTACTTTTTAATCTAATAATTTTAGCTGTAATCCTTAGCCTGAACTTTATGGTAATCACATCCATCATTTTCAGTTCTATGAGTGACAGCCACATATTTTTTTCTTTATAGTGTTACCACCTATGTGTGCATCTCTAAGCAGTATAGCATTGTTTGTTTTTAAACTCTACATATTAGAATTATTATATATAGGATGTATTCCATTTTTTCACCCAACATATATTAGTAGGATTTTATCCATGAAGTATAGCTGTAATTTGATCATTTTCATTGTTATGTAGTATATAAGTGTATAAATATAGTACAATTTATTGATCTAATCTATGGTTTGTAGACTTCTGAGTTGCTTTTTATTTGGGATAGTTAATAACATCATTGTTATAAGTATTCTTGAACATGTATTCTCTAAACTTGTGTACATATTTCAATGGAGTATACATTGGGAGTGGAACTGCAGGATAATAAGGTATGCATAAGTTCAGCTTTAGTAGTTAGAGTGCCAAGCAGTTTTTCAAGGTGACTTTGCCATTTTACTCTCCACTTACCATACAAGAGAGTTCAATTGCATCATATCCTTGCCATCTCATTGTGGTTTTAATTTGCATTTGATGACTAATGGAGCCAGGCATTTTCCCATATGTTTATTAGCCACTTAGATATCATCTCTTGTGACATACTTGTTCATGTCTTTTGCTCATTTTCAAATTGAGTTGTCTTTTCATTTGTAGAAGTTCTTCATAGGGTAAGTCATTAAAATTGTTTTTCAAATATATTCTATTTTTTGCTTTTAAACAAATATTTGTTTTGCTTTTTTACTCCCTCAGTGGTATCTCATAATGAAGAGATATTTCTATATTTCTGTGTGAACCAGTTTACCAACATTTTCTAATGGTTAATTCTTTTTGAGTCCTGTTTAATAAAACTCTGCTTAAAGTTATAAAGATACTCTTCTGTGCTGTCTTCTTGAAATTGTTTTACCTTTTACATTTAGAGCCATATCCCAGGTATGTATTTTTGCATATGTAGGATGTATAAATTCTTAGAGCTTTCCAGTTGGCTCACTGCCATTCACTAAATGGACCTTCCCCATCACTGCAGTGCCAATGTCTGTATGTACCAGTATCTCTCTCTACATATATTCATAGGTCTATTGAAGATTCTCACATCTCTCCCATGTCTATTGTTCATGATCATATGAATACTAGAATCTCTTAATGATTATAGCTTTATAATATGTCTTGATATCTAGTGAACTTCTTCAGCTTTGGTCTTATTCAAGACCATTTTTGACCTTTTGCATTTCCACATATATTTGGAATATACTTGTCAATTTCTCAAAATTAAGTTAATTATTGTATTATTTTTCCATATCAACAATGGTAAACCTACTTTTGCCTAATCCTGTATACTCTGTATGATTTTAGCTATTGAAATCTGCTCAGAGTTGTTTTATGTCCCAACAAAGGGTCAATTTTGGTAAATGTTCCATATGTTTGAAAAGAATGTTTTCTGTTATTTTGGGTATGCTGTTCTAATGTGTCAGTTAGACTGTTAATCATGTCGTTTGATTCTTCTATATCCTTACTGATTTTTTTGACTATTTGTTTTATCAGTTGCTCAAGGAAGAATATTAAAATATCTCACCATTATTTTGGAGTTGTTTATTTCTGTTTTAGTTCTGTCAATTTTTGCTTTAGTTTTTTATTTTTTTAGGTTATATTTTTAGGAATATATACTTAATAATGTAATTTTATATCTTTTATGTGAGCTTATCCTTTCATGTATCTGGCATTTTAAGAATATTTATCTGGTGGTATTCCAGAACAGAGAGGAGGCAGGGAGATCCAATTAGGAACCCAGGCTGTGCTCTGGGCTGGAGGGGATGTTATGACCTCTGAGTCTCAAAGGGCACCTGTGCTGGGAGGAGTGAGGAATAACAAAGCAGATTATTGGCTTGGGCCAGCTTTCTTCTCTCTCCTTTGGAATTTGAGATGAATTGCTGAAGGGCTTCTCTTATTGACTTTCCTTCAGAGGAGTCCTGATTCCAGGGGTGGTGGAATCAGAAGACAAAGAAAAAAGTAAACAAAACAAGAAATCTTGCCCTTAGTGTGGGTGAAAGGCCGGCAAAGGGAGAAAGGGAAGGAGAGACAGTATTGGGATCTGCAGACTCTACCTGAATGCAAATCACTTGCTCTGGGACCAGGCAAAAAACACCGGCCAGACAGACCCCGCCAAACCAACGCCAGCAGCCAACATCTGTCTTCACTGCAGATCTGTACCCATTTCCTACCCAATTCCCCACAATTTACCCAAGTTCCTGACAGTTTCCCCAATGTCATGACTTACTTTTTAAAACCAGAAAAAGTTTTTTTTTAAGTTTATTATATTTAGAAAGTTACTATTCTCTATGTTACTATAGTTCATTGAGGGAGACTACAACAAGTTACATTCCATAGCAGCTAACTCTAATTTCTCTGTACTCCTAAAGGAGCAGTGATATGTATAATCTAAAAATGGCTTCTATGGTGAACATAATTCTTTTCTTTTTGAAATCGTGAAGCTGAAGTTCATGTTTACTGGCCACAGCCTAGCAATTCTGTTCCCATTTGCTTCCCTAGGCAGCATCCTATTTTATTACAACCCCCTTCCCGCTCCCCTCTCTTCTAAGGAATAAAATCTGAGTGAAATTCACTCACTCACAGGAAGATGATGGTAGCTTAAAGTGTACGCCAGGGATATTACCATAATAGACTCATTCCATGTGTTGCAAATATTTATTAGGTACCAGGACATTTTCTAGGTTCTGGAAATACCACAGAGAATAAGAAAGCTGTGGTCCATCCTCCTATGATGTTTACAAACTTTGAGAGACAGAAGACAAGTACTAGTACTAGTCCACAACACGAGGCTTTTCACTAGAGAGAAGTGCCGTGAAAGTTATAATGTATGTGACAGGGAATGGCTGGGTGGTGGGAGGTCAAGGTTCCGTAGTTGTTAGCGAAAACTGCTCTGAAAAATATCATCTGAGCTGAGACTTGCAAGACAAGGAGCCAGCTTTCACGGGGAAATGTGGAGGACTCGGACTGAGGGAAAAGCAAGGACAAGGGCCCTGTGGTGGAATCAAGGCTGTTCCAGGAACAGAAGGAAGCTGGGCCTGACCTGGAGAAGGAGGGCGTAATGACGGATGAGGCTGGAGATGGAGGCAGCAGCCGGGTCGTGGCAGGCCTCGAAGGCCGAAGTGACACTGGGTGAAATCCAAGTGCCTTAAGAGTGACAGGATGTGACTGGCATCTTGTTAAAGTGATCACTGGTTTCCCCGTGGGAAATGGACTACAGCGGGGAGAGGGTGGAAGCAGAGGGTCACTCGCAGTTGTTGGTGTAATTCAAGCAAGAGAGGAAAGGTGGGTTAGGATGGGTGACAGGGAGTGGAGAGAAATGAATGTATTCGGGATATAGTTTGGGGGTAGAATTGAAGTTGGTGAGGAAGAGTTTTTGTCCCTTCCTCGTTTTTAGTTGAAATGAATGCTTTTAGGCATATAATTTACCTAGTGACCTCATCAAAATATGATAAAGCCGATTTAACTAGAATTCAAGTCACTGGAATTTGCCATTAAAAAGGAAATTCAGTATGTTTAGAATGTAATTGTTATATTTGGAGTTGGTGGTCATTTTAAAACCTAACATGCCTTTTAAAACAACTGCAGTATTAATTCAACAGTTTGTAACATTCAGATCCTTTAAAACTAGTTATATGTATTGTGTACACTCAACAGGGTTTTTTGACTAATCAGAATATTCTGTTTCCCAACTAAAACAGTTAGTTATATTCACTGTAGAAGCAATTTTTAGATTATGAATATCACTGCTTCCTTCAGAATATGAAGAAATAAGTTAATAGTGCTGTTTGTACTTTAAAGAAAGGACATTCAGCGATAGTCTGTGGATGGTGGATTATGTGTGATTTGTTTCTTCAGTTTCCTTTTGTATTTTCCAAATTCCCTACAAAGATATGAATTACTTTTACAATCATAAAAATTTTGCTTTTTCTTTTTTCAAGTTTATTATATTTAGAAAGTTACTATCTATAGTATCATCATTCATGGTGGAAAACTACAACAAATTATATAGCTGCAGGCAAAGTTTTAATTATTTTTTTCCCTTTAAAAAAACAGATTTATGAGAAACTTCCAGGATTTTTACAAACACTTATGGATGCTCTGAGAAAAGACAAAATAGTCTTCCCTAACGATGAAAAGTAAGCTAATGATTAAAAATGTCCATTGTTCTATTACTATGCCTGTACGATTCCGGCGGTAGGGGTGGGGGTTGTGACTATCATGTGACTTACTGGATGGGTAGATGAGAATCTGAAAGACTAGATGAGAATTTGCAGGTGGGCATAGGATTTAGAGTGCTGTATCTACAAGTTTTTAGTATTTGGCATTTTCCTTATGACTTCTTTGATGATTTTACAGATTCAATATTTTCTCTGAAGTCATAAAGGGTGCTGTAGATTTAGGGATTCCTGACTTTAAGCCTTATTCCACACATAACTAAAATCTATCTACTATTCAGCCTAGTAACCTGACAGCAAATCCAATGAAAAGAACTTGGCAAGTTTCCCTCTCATAATTGGAGAATTTGAGCACCTGCAAATATGTAGTTGTTATCAATATTTTTATATTTCAACATACTTGAGGGATATAACATGCTCAGGAGTAACAGCAGTTCACTGGCATGGATAGATGGGGGGGGGGAAGTATTGTTTGGGGTGGGGGAGGGAAGTATTGTTTGGGGGAGGGAGGGAAGTATTGTTTGAGAATGTCATTGCAATCAAGAACGAACATTCTTCATGCCACAGCCTTTTTGAAAGGCTTCCTCCAAAGTAGGAAGTTGACCAGGAAGCTAATCAAACCCATTAATTAGATGTTCATCCTGTACATTTATAGGGAAAAGTGAATAAACTGTCACAGATTTCTATTTTGTCCTGTGGTAGTTCTTGTTATTTTGGGTTCTTTAGTTTTCTTTTAGAGTTTTTTATTTTTTATTTTTTAAGTTTTTATTGATTTTTTTTTTTTTAGAGAGAGAGGAAGAGAGAGGGAGAGAGAGAGAGAGAGAAACATCAATCATCTCAATGTATGCACCCTGAATGGGGATCAAACTTGCAACTTGGGTATGTGCCTTGACTGGGAATCAAGCAGGTGACCTTTTGGGTGCATGGGATGATACTCAACCGACTGAGCCATATTGGCCAGGGCTTATTTATTTATTTATTTATTTATTAAAAAATATTTTATTGATTTTTTACAGGGAGGAAGGGAGAGGGATAGAAAGTTAGAAACATCCATGAGAGAGAAACATCAATCAGCTGCCTCTTGCACACCCCCCATTGGGGATGTGCCCGCAACCAAGATATATGCCCTTGACTGAAATTGAACCTGGGACCCTTGAGTCTGCACACAGACGCTCTATCCACTGAGCCAAACCGGTTAGGGCAGGGCTCTTTTAATTATAATATTCCAAGTATTATGATATTAGGTGGAATAAGGAAAAAGATAAGGTTCTTCTAATTTTCTACAAATTCAATACTTCAGTGTTCTTTATTATTTTAAAAGAAAATCACATGGAAGTAGATTAAATTAATTAGATACCTAATTAAACTATTATACATGAGTACATAGGAGAAAGAGACTATTACCCAGAAGAAAAATAAGTTACTGTGTGAAGTTTGTTATATATGAAGTTGTTATGCCTGGGAGGGAAGGAAAGAGAATTCTTGTATTTGGGCAAACCTGATGTTTTGGTAAAGCTTTAACTTGGAGGAGGAGGAGAAGTCCTAGCGTGTAATTCTTGAACTGAATGCTTTTTTTCTATCTGTTCCTAGTGTAAAATTCCTGTCTTCCCCCATCCTCATCCTTCATGGCGAGGATGACAGCACAGTGCCTTTGGAGATTGGAAAACAGGTAACCGTGAACTGAATCATGACTGAGACATACTGTTCTTATTTCACCATCTTCTCTTCTAGTCCAACTTTGATGAGAGCCCAAAGGAGGGTCTCTGACATTCTAAGGGATTCTCTACACCCATAATGACCATGCTGCCTGGTGTATACAGTAAGCATCCACGCTAATCGCTCCAAGGAGCATTTGTGGTGGACCCAGGATACTATAGGGACATGTATCTCTCCTGTAGTGGCTCTAAAAATGGGGAGGCAATTTCTTTCCTTTTAACCAAAGTGCATTCATTACAATTCCTTGTCTCCTCACAGGGAGGTATGGACAATGGAAGGATGTCCTATCGGCATTCTCTATTAGTCATGCAGCTTTCAGTCCTTTAGTTGTAGAGGCAGCCAGTTGGAAATGTGGAGAGTCTTCATGTCTCTGACCTAATGGAACTAACTCCTCAAGCTGGCTGTTTCTGTACCACTGTAAGAAAACCAGCCTAGCTAAGTGAAATAAGCCAGGCAGAGAAAGATAAATATCACATGATCTTACTCATTTGTGGAAAATAATGAATGGCATAGACTGATGAACAAGAACATACACAGAGACTGAGAAACGTCGATCAGAACGTCAAACCTCAGGGAAGATGGGGGTCAGTGGGAGTAAGGGGGAGAGATCAACCAAGGGACTTGTGTGCATGCATATGAGTCTAATCAAAGAGGGGTGGGGCATGAGTGGGAGGTGGGGAGTAATGGGGAAATAAGGACATTTATGTAAAAAATATTTTAAAAAGTAAACAACAAAAAAAGAAGGAAAGAAAGAAAGGAAGAAAGGAAGGAAGGAAGGAAGGAAGGAAGGAAGGAAGGAAGGAAGGAAGGAAGGAAGGAAGGACAAAAGAAAGAAAACAGCCTAGATAAACAACAATCTTGATGGTCAGCCTTAAGTCTGTTTTTCTGTGCCCTTGCAGCTCTATGAAATTGCACACAATGCATACAGGAACAAAGACAGGGTCAAGATGGTGATCTTTCCTCCTGGCTTCCAACACAACCTGCTTTGTAGGAGCCCCACCCTGTTAAAAACCGTGAGGTAAGAGTAGCTTTGTTAAATGTGATTTTCTCCCCTACAGGCAATTAGGGCTGATCTGGCTTACGTGGGCCTCGAGGTGGGGGAAGCATGTGATCTGATCTAGGTCCTTTTTCTGCAGAGAGTTCCTGAGCCAGCAGTGGGCGTGAGGTCGGAGAGCAGCAGAAACCTCCCTTGAAGACTTGGTCCTTACACCACCTGTGATGTGTACTTGTATAAAATTGTACCGGGATGCTTGGATGAGCTAAAGTCTACCAGTCACTTGCCAGCTACAAAGCACGGATGCTGGGTGGTATGGAATGCTCTCATTTAGTTCATGGAGCATGCTCAAACATCACTGTGGAGAATCAGAGTTTGGTAAAAACTGGATCCCATAGAAAAATGTGCAGTTACCGAACACCCTGGGCTATTTGTGAATCAGGTGTAGTCTTTGTTTGGACTTGGGTAGCCGTGTAAGAAAGGTGCTCCAATGTAGTCAAATAATTTGAGTTTTAGTTTAATTAAATGGCATTAAAAAGTTCCACGCATTTTTCTAGGGGAAGGTCCTCGAATGCTACTCAATTTGTTATAAAATAATACCTTTTGACACTCAGGTAGCTCTGAAAATTCATACTTTATTTTTAGCTCTAATACAGTTATACACTCTCCCTGCCCAATCCCCAGAGATACTTAACTGGATCGTTAGCTAACAAAACAAAATAAAAATCAAAGAATGTTGCAAAAAGGTTCAAGTCCAATAAGAAACTATTTTTTTTTTTTTTTTAGGGACACTTTACAACTTACTTTCCATTGGCCTTGTACACCCCATTGCTAGGTTCATTGGATAGGGAAATCTTTATATCTGAAGGCTCCATGTTCCAAATGTCCTTGGCATACTCCTTAATTGTTCGGTCACTGGAGAACTTCCCTGAGGCAGCTATATTTTTGAGTACCATCGCGTTCCATGCCTTTGGATTCTGTAAACAACACAGATACATATGGCCCAGGGCTTTAGGACAAACATCAGGCCAAGCATATCGAAGCACATTTCATGGAGAAAACGATAGGAGTAAATTGTAGTGAATTATAAATACACATGTTGAGAGCTAAGTACATACTGAGCTTTTCTCCTATTTAGAGTATATATTTTTCTCTTAAGAATGAAAAATATGTATTTTTCATTTTCAGGGAAACCAGGGATATAAATGACCTAATTGATAATTTTTGCTGTAGTGACAATGTTTTGGCATAGAAATCATATTTCCCATGCTTTGTTTCAAATGAAAATACTTTCCTTTAAACTACAGATGAAAGGAAGGGATAATATTCACTATCCGCTAGAAACCAAGTCAAGAGATTTGGCCTGTGGCTCACAAAGTTTGGAAAATACTGTGCAAGAATGCTAACGAGCCACTTTATTGACCTACTTCTCTTGTTTTTTCCCCTGAAGGTAGATGACCCAGTAGGTTTATACTGAATCTCGTTGGGGTTTCAACACACGATTAATTAAGGTTTTATCCTTAATAAAATATGCAACATCCAAACCTTATACTTTCTATACAAATAAGAATATAAGAAAGTAATTATTTAATAACCTCATGATTTTGTAAAGAACTCTAAGAGTTCATTGTAAATGACCAGAACGTTATTTAAAACAAATAGCAATGCATTATAAGCATTACAAAATCTATAACTACCATCAGTCCTTAAGGTACTGCAGAAAAGAGTCTGAAATGAGTTTGTTCAGACTCTGAAAACTTACTAAAATAAAAGAATAAAAGCGTCATCTCTTCACTTTCTTCGTATTGTTGAGGCTTAGAAAACAAACTCAACATGCATGGGAAGTTTCGTCATGAAGCCTCAATAATACAATTATTGTTAGGAGTAAGAACTGCAATTGGCACTAATGAACAAGAAAGACCGACCCACATACTTGGCTTCTAGTCGAGCATCCTTTGGATGGGGGCCATCATTTTAACAGAAGAGACCCATTGTGCAAATCTGACATTCACGTCTGTGACTGCCCTTGGCTGGATTTTCCTTTCTTGTTTTGTTTTATTTTTATTTCTTTCCCCCTGCAGCCCTTCTACATACAAGCATGGGTTGCAATCAAGAGGAAAGAGGGAGAGGTGGCCATTTTCCTTTCTCTGTCTTTGAGGCTGCTTTCTCCAGTGTTCAGGAAGCAGGAAGTAGGCCCCTAAGCTTAATTCATGTACTGCTCCTCCTTGCTATGGCCATTAACTGGAAATTACTCTGGTCTGCTCACGTTTGGGGGACTGGATGGGACTCTACCAGAAGCTAAGGGCTGTGAAGAGCCTACTTTGAGTTTAAAACCCAGTGGGATACCCAGGGACGACTGTAGGAACCACCCTGTTACCTGCTTTGGGAAAGGAATGGAAAGAAATCTTAGTGAAATATGTTTCTGTGGGAAGTAGTTATTGATGAATACAAAGGGAAGGAGATGGTGATTTTATGGATCTTCACTTGTCTGCTGTACGATGGTTTTCAAGTTGGAGGGCAAAAATAAAGACTTTGGAGACCAGGGCAACCAGAAGGCTCAAGGACGTCAACCCCAAGAGACCCATCCTGGAGTCTTGGCAGAGAGCCAGCCTCTTTCGGTATCTGTTCTTCTGTGGTGCCTGCAATTCACTAAAAGTTTACTGTATCAGAGATGATGAACCTTTCCTTGTGTCTACTCATGAACCCAGAGGGCTGGGCTGCTTAATGAAGATGTGCACAGCTCTCGCCTTGCCTTTCCTTCCTTTCTCCTCCTCCTACCTGCCTTTTTTTAAAGTATAGTCTTTCTTGTTCCTTTTCTTTCTTAAAAAAATTTAAACATGAAACCTTCCTTCTATACATGATATTCTATTCTAATCATATAGCCCCACTCCATGGGTAGTCCAGGAGAGAGACTTATTTTGCAATTTTCAAAGACAAAGGGGGTCTTTGAAATAAACTAAGGCTCAGCATTTGAATCATTTAAGCAGGTTTTTCAAATACTGATAGTGATCCCAGCCACCACTGGATCAGGGAGACTGGCATCTGTATTTTAACAAGCTGCCTGGGTGATTCTAATGTGCACTAAACAGGCTCCTGGAGGGGTGTGGTAAGAAGAAGGTGACTATCTGTGCAGGGGCCACTTTGCCAGTGCCCAGCACAGTGCCCGCCATGGGAAGGCCCCGATGCCTCTCTGTTGAACCAGTGAGTGGGTAAAAGGAGCATTCAATTTGGCTTTTATACCTTTAGTTTCCAGGACACACCTGCCACATGTGGGTGCTCAATAAAAATAAAATTATTTGTGATTTTTTTTTTTTTTAACTTGGACATTAAAACATTTACAGCTGCTATGGAAATGTTGAGTCAACCTCTGCTGCCTAAACTTGGGAAAAGTCGAGTTTTGATCTGAATAACCTAGAAGTTGTCTCACTTCCCTTTTCTGGTTGGTCAGTGGGGCCCTGTTATTGAGACTTAATAAAATGAAACAGAATTTTAAATTAAGCACAGTAAGCTGGTTTCCTTTGTACATCTCAGCTAAGTACTCACCATGTACAGTTGGCTGACTTTTTCTTGACACTTGACATACGCTTCGTAGTCTGCAAACACTTTAAACCTGCGTTGTCATTTTGTTGTGTGTGATGGAGAGGAAAAATCAAAACAACAAAAAGCTTTATTAACAGGTGTGTGTTAAGATTCCATTTACAATTCACTCTTGTTTCATGGCCACTTTACCAAACTTACATTTCTATTCACAAGAACTGTAAACAGCCCTCAACCTTTCTATGGCCCACCCCACAGGGAAGAGTGTCATTACAGGGATGAGCTGTGTCCACCGGTGGAAGAGGAAAAAGAATGCCAGATTTGTGGGTTTTATCTTTAGAGCTTCCTAGCAATGCCAGAGGAGAGTCTTTAATTTTTCTTTCCAAGCCTACCTTAGCTTGTCAGATGGCAGATCTATGCTAATCTACATAATTGGGTTGTAGTTGGTTTATGATGTTCTTGCTCCTTATACACGGCTGAAATAAAATCACCTTCTTGGGGGAACTCACCTGTCATGATAAAATAGCATGTTGATTACATCTTTGAAGAGGTCAGGCTGCTTGGGAGAATAGAAGCCATTGTCAATTTGATCAATGGCCAGCTTCAGCTCTGGAAGTGCCTCGTAATATTCTTTCGCATTGTATCTGTGGGGTGGGGGTGTGGTAAGAAGAAAGTTCTATTAGTGTTTGTGATTAGCAATGCACTAGACACCACATTAGCTGTGAAAAATGTATTCAGAAACACTAAATTTTATAGAAGTCATTACAAAGTTCAATATGGATATCGGTAATAATTGACTAGATCCTGACATTTCTCTCCCCTCGACCCTATACACACACTTAAAGTTGATTAGTTCCTTGTAAATGAAGACATTGACAGTAGATTAGAAAAAAAAAATCCTAGTCCCAGAACAATAGTCTAGTCTGGTAAAAGACAATAAGATTCATTTCAAGCAGACTTTTTGGCTCTAAATAAGCATTATATGAAGTTAACCAGTTGCTTTTGGACTCACAGATCCCCAGATTTGTTGCTACTGAGTTAAAATTTGCTTCCCAGGATGAGGAAGTATACCGACAACCCCCAAATGTTGTGATCCCTGTAGTTCCTTTGGGCAGCACTCTTTATTTTTATTTTTATCCAGGTTAATAAATCTAGTTAACAAACCTATCCATAGACTAAGAGAAACCATTCCTGGGTGCTTCGGTACACCCATACCTATCCTCTCCCACCTTTTAGTCCGTTTGCAATCTTAAAGGAGCAATCTTAAATCATAGACGAAAACTTCAACTAAAAACTGGATTATCTTTTGATCAAGGTAAAAATCACAGGATGCAAAGAACTGACCAGCTCTTCAGGCCCGCTCTGCAATGGCTGATGCCAAAGAGCAACAACCCCGTGCACCGGGGCCCAAGCGCCTTTAACTTCCGCTTGCTGGGTTTCATTAGACTGATCCCTGGCTAGGAGGCTCCTCTGACTCTTGGGAGATGTCTGCTGCCACATCTGGGACTCAGCCTGAGTGGGATATCTGGGTGGCCCATTCTCTCACCCTTTCTTGTCCAAGGCAGCTACATCATCGATTCTCATGCCAAAGATGAACAGGTTCTCTTCCCCAGCTTCCTCTGCCATTTCCACG